TTCAATTTAGCTGCTGCGGCTTATATTCAGGTGCGCCTTATAGTCCGAAAATTACGGTAATTCCTAAACTTCTAACAGATACAAAATAAACCGATCCTGCAGCCTCATATGAGCTCTCAGACACGTTCAAAATTAAACTGTCATCGCTGTCTGAGCTTGCTGCTGTGTGCCCCATCGTGCGTTTACATGCAGATGCTGGGATCCTGAACGGTGCAGCTGGAGCGCTGTGCCCGCAATGACGTCACACATAATTTGGCGGGACTTGAAGAATCCCAGAGAAGATCTAGAAAATTGTCAACATTGAAGGGCAGATTATTGGTTATCAAAGTACAAATATCCAAAATCAGTTCAGTCACGGTTTTCAAGGGGACAATTTACTCAAATTGATGGGTTTGGATGATGGGGGAAACTCGTGTCACAGGCTCAAAAGGTGTTCATTACAGATTGTAAATGTGGAGCTCATTTTAATTAATATATAGGCCTACTGCTGCGGACAAGAGAAAATAACACTTAAACTAGATAACACTGCCAAGAAGCTATTTAAAAACCTTTTTAAAGTTGAGAAATATAGAAATACACGTTTTTAACAAATAGAAGAATACAAAAAAGTAAAGTCAAAAGTAAATAAGCTCCACTTTTACCAGCTTTTACTTGTAACTGAGTATTTTCACTTCACAATTTGGTACTTTTACTTTTTTTACTTTGGTAAAATATACGAGTAGCCTACTATGCGCATAGTAGGACCTACTGTCAATGGGAGGGGTTAGAGTCTGAAACTAAAAGTACCTATAATGTGTACATTACTTAATTACAGTTCTTAAGTAAATGTACTTCACTACCTTCCACCTCTGGATTCTTCCACCGCTGTCATCAAACAGTCCCGCTCCACACGGCGACATGACGGATGGTCTCCTGCGGGGCTGTGGATGTGGGCTGGCGGAGTGACGCGGCTCTTCAGGCGGACTCCTCCGCAATAAGAGGCGGCGGCCGCGGAGAGGCAGAGCAGAGGAGGCTCAACGCAGCACCGTCACACAGCACCCTGAGCACCGCCACACAGCAGCACGCTGCACCGCCCACAGCACAGCCACTCACCCCGGAGGGAAGACGTTTCAGCGGAGGAACATGCCGGCGATGCCAGGGTCTCAGTGACTCTCCGCCCGATACACAGGCTGCTCCGCGGGCTGCTCACCCTGACCCTCCGCCAGGACCAGGGACAATTTAACATTTAAACACATATTTTATTGGTAAGTGTTCACTTTTTAAATCCACAAAACGAAAACCAAACTCATTTCACATTTGTTACTACATATTTACAGAAGTGCAATGAAATAGGCCTACATATATTTTACCTAATTAAATAGCGTACTTAAGTACTTTGGAGTTACTTTAAGCAAGTAGCCTATTTATATTTTATGCTACTTTATACTTCTAATCCACTTCATTTTGGAAGCCACTTTTTACGCCAGTACATTTATCTATCAGCTTTATTTCCTCTACAAATTAAGATTATTACAAAAATAAATATATAGCATCAACAGATTATAAAGTAGGCTAATTCAAATGAGATCCATCATTACCATCTGTGATCGAGACATGAATGCATCAATAATCATAATCCAGTGATTTCATATTTCTAAATGGAACATCATGCTTTATGAGTTATTTTTAATAATATTTTAAGTATTTTTTGATGACTGTTACTGAAGTAGGATTTGAATGCATGACTTTTACTTGGAGTACAGTTTTTTTTTACAATTTAATATTGCTACTTTTATTTAAGTGAAACATCTGAGTACTACGCAAAGTGTCCATAAAATCTGAAAACTTCTTCCACACCTCCATATTTCCATATTTAAATAATAATTTGTAGAGATCTTGTATGTTTTAGAGGAATGTGTACATCAACAGGTGTACCACAAGCGTAGGCTACTACATCCAGCACCAGTTTTCTTTAAACATTAAAATATATTTAGTGGTAACCACATTTATTTGTAGGCCTATTCAACTTTCAGGGTCATCACATTCATATGAATACTTTTCCTCAGCAGATGTTGCGTAGGAATGAATTGAAGACATGGTTTCTTTAACTAAACAAGCAAAGCTCCAAACAGGCCTCCAGCTGATCCTAGCATCACATCGTAAACTCTAATGAGCATGAGCTCATTAACACGTGTGAAGCGCTGTGATTAATGTGAAGATAAAGACAAGAGAGAGAGAGAGAGAGAGAGAGAGAGAGAGAGAGAGTGTGTGTGTGTGTGTGTGTGTGTGTGTGTGTGTGTGTGTGTGTGTGTGTGTGTGTGTGTGTGTGTGTGTGTGTGTGTGTGTGTGTGTGTGTGTGTGTGTGGCTGCAGGTGTGACGGCTGGAGATCAGATCATAGTGGAATGTGTGTGAGGCGGGGGCCATGCATGGTAAGACTTTACTAACTAGATACCACAGAAGAAGAATCTTTCACTGCCACACTATGCTGTATTTATTTTAATTTTCCATAAGTGTAGTCAAAGGTATTTGTTTTGGGGAGTGATGTAGGTTGTTGAATTGTGTTTAAAAAAGCCCTGATAGTGCTCGTTTTAAATCCTTTATTTAGTACGGTGGTTTAATAAATGCATTTATATCATATTTTCACAACTTATTAAAAATGAATCACAGTAACAAAGGAGAAGTTGTCCCGCAAAGTGATTTTAAAGTAACATATAGCGGAGATACTGAGAAAAAGTTGAAGTTTTTTATGAATGTACTTATGCATTCCACTGCTGACGGTTACAAATGATTTGATGGAATTGGCAGCTTCTTTGCCGTTGTTTTTTGAACATATCAGCACTTATCATGTCATTTCTGTTCTTATCTTATCTGTAAATGAAGCTTTTTCAGACATGATGTCTTACAACACATGCTCTAAAATAACAAACTTGATTTTAGAAGGAGAAAAAGTAATCTGTAATGTGGAACGGAGCCCGTAAGTTTCTGGCAGCTTGAGATATTTCATATTTTGAAGAGCCCAGAACATGTAACCACACCTAAAGACCTCGGTTTTAACCCCGGTTCCATTATGAGCATTAGTGGACTTAGTGAGAAATGAGGAGAGAGCAGGCTGACAGATTACAGGACGCTCAACTCAGCGCATGTTTGTGAACGTCAGATGTAAAACATATTAATAACAGCTGTATGAAATTGGAAATGTGTTGACTCATACGAAACACCAAAAGTTATCACCATACCCGCAATAACATGTTTACGCACATTGGAGACTTTTTCTGTCACTTTTTTTCTGATTTCTGGAGTTAGTTTGTATTTTCATATTATACATGCTTATATATCAATGGTCATAGATTAAACTAGTTCTCAACAAATCAAAAAAAGGTCCTCCTCAAACTACGTTAATTCTGTTCATTATTTTTCTGCTTGGATTTAACCTTTTTTCTTTAACTGTGAAAAAGTGTATTAAGTAAAAAATCAGTACTAAATAAAACAGTTTAGTTTCAGTTTATTATTATTAATCTTTTCATAATATTGTATCCAAAGTATAATACCGTAGAAATGCCTACTGGCGCAACTCGAGGTGAGTTTTTTTTTTGATAATTTTTTTTAATTGAGAACAACTGGTTTTAACTATAACCATGGATATATAAGCACGTCTGAAATTGAAATATATAAAATGCAGCTAACCCCAATATTCCGATAAAAAATTGGGATTGGATGCCTTCAGGAGCAATTTGGGGGTTAAGTATTTTGCCCTCGGATTAATGGACAAGTTGACTGCGGGGAGGGAGGGGGCGATCGAACCGCTGACCCTCGACACCTTTTTACCCCCTGTGCAACGGTAGTGTTGTTACTTACATGTTACTAGTGGTTAACTAGTTAAGTGGTGGAATTGTTCATTATTATCCTACGTGGTTTTTTATTGCAGCCTTAATTTCAACAATTAAAATGTTTTTTTTTGGCCCAGATTTGCATTTATTTGACAGGGTAATTAGGGGGAGATAAAGGGGAAGACATGCGTGAAGGGTATAAAGGGATACACACCCTCTATTTTTTTCAGGCATAGAAGTTGAAAGATAATTGTCCCATGTAAATGTACTGAGTCACAAACGACTGGAATCAGCTGACAAAACACACCGCTGTGAGTTGTTAATTAGCACGTCGCTAAAAGCTAATTCGCTATAAAACCTGCTCAGTCCTGCAGAGGTAAACACCTGGGGCCCACATGTGTATCTCAGCCGGTCTGATCGCATTCACACCGAGGTGAGAAGCGTCAGTCGTCACAGCGAGGCCCTCGGAGGCGTCAGATCTCACAGGGTCCGCTGAAGTTAAAGGGCCACATGGCTGTTTGGATTTGGAGGCCCCTGGTATGCAGACATGAAAGGGGAGAAGGTGAGGAGCGCTCAGCGGCGCAGCGCTTATCTCTAATGACCCCTTAACTATAAGTCAATTACTTCAGCTTGATGATCAGAAAGGAGCGCACTACATGGGGCCGGGGGTCCTCGTTACAGACCCTTCCCTGCATGGCCAGGTCGCAGGCATCCTCTTTATTGCTGCTCAGTGTAAACGCTCCGTCTGTACCATCATGTTCAGGACAATGGGATGGATTTGAGCCAAGAACAGAAAAACTGAAAGCAAGAACAATTTTCATTTTCAATTTAATTCTTATAATCAGAATATTTGTTTGTCCCGCAGAGGGGAAATTTACAGCGACAACAGCAACAGATAAAAGGCAAATAAAGTACAGTAAAATATTAAATGGTAAACATTGATGGTAAAAAAGAATAAGAAGTTTAAATAAGTTTGTGAGTGTATACATTGAGGGAGCCAGTTAAAGCAATGTTTTAAAATCAAGTGTATGTTGCATATGAACAGTGGTTATTGCAAAACATAACAGATAGCTTCTCCCTCAGCTCTAACACTGCACTACTCTGATTACTTTATCACTCTCTAAAATTACAAGTAGGACTTTTCTGATTAGGATATATTCATCACTATCATTATTATCACTATTTTATTTGTATTATTTTAATATAATTTAACTCGTTTTTTTCAACTGGAAAGTGGACAAATGTAAATGCTTTATGCATATGTAGTTATATTAACTGTTTTAAATTAATAAAAAAACGTCCAGGCTGTTATGGACGTCCCTAGAAATGTAGTTTTGATACATAAAAGTAAAATGTTTTAATTTAATTTTTTTTAATACCCAATTTAAAATTTAAATACCT